GGTAAAATGCAGAGAAAGAATTACAATGGAAAGAAGGAAAACAAAATGAAATGGAGGCACTGATGACGAGATTGGGGCATATTATTTTTCTTTCTAATTTGATTGTTCCACGGTCATACATCTTGTAAATGAAGACACCACGGTGGATGAAGGGGTCGAACATGCTGATGTCTTACTAATAATGGTATGTGTAAAACGACTGCGTGTCACGACTACGAAGAGGCGATAGGACAACACCCACAGCATAAGAATGACTTCAATTGATATTATGGCTGAATAGAATAACGCTAGGAGACCTGATGTTGAAGTGAAAATTATCTTACGAGGGAAGCCCGCCAAGTGATCAATCGCTTTTTCGTACAAACATACATGATTGTATGTAGTTCAGTTCGCTGATTCCGAATATCAGGGTCTAAGTAGCCGTTAGGCCTTTCAGGTTCGTTGCCATTACTGTGGTCCTCTTTCTGATAAGGGTGTTTCTCGGCAAACTCAATCTTTTAATCAGTGTACCATATATAACTAGACAAAATATTTACAGGAAATACTTTTTTATAGACAATTTAATCTTAACTTCCCAATACTAAGCAATATAGCAGAGAAGTGATCGATATATTGACTAGAAAGAGTCATTCGACATTTCTTTCGTTTTCTTCATTGTATATTCACAAATCAATCATAACTTTAATAGAAAACACCCATGCTAATTTCTCAAAACATAAAACATTGGTATCGTTGGGGCATATATTCAATACAAGCAGCTAATTTGACGAGATTATGTAATGCACTACATCAGATAAACTTATTTCTTTATAGTTTTTTTTTGTGAAAATGTTAACTTCATAAGGACACTTGCATATCTAATGTTTTTCTTCGTACGGTGCATTTTAGCATATGAAACTTAAGATTGAAGTGTCTATAAAAAAGAATGCCTGTAAATATTTTGTCTAGTGATATATGGTAGACTGATTAAAAGATTGAGTTTGGTAAGAAACGGCCTTATCAGAAAGGGGACCAGAGTAATGGGAAGGAATCTAGAAAGGCCTAAGGGCTGCTTAGACCCTGATAGGTGAAGTCAGCATAGTGAACTGCATATTGTCATGTATGTTTCGACGAAAAAGTGATTGAGGGTGTGGTTGTGGATGGAGATGTAGTTGAACTTAAGACTTCAACCCAACCACACCACCACACCCGCACCCGCACACTCATACCCACGCCCAAATGCATACACCCGCATTCGTACTTGCACACCAACAGCCACACCCTATTTATGGTAACTTCTTGGCATACTTATTTTGTTTTTGCGTAAGTTTCTCACTAAAAAGGTTCATGGTTCTATAGGTTCTTCTAAAAAAACATTTCTACATCGACTACTTAGTTAATTATTTCGTAGTCTGGCATTATTTTTTGGAATAGGATATGCAGCGTTATACAAGATTCATTGAACCAATTAGCTGTAACTAAGATAGTGTTCTATTCTTTTGTTTAGTTCTATTCTCATATAGAAAAGTTATTTGCTATTCTTGACAATCGCTCATGTTCTGTTTACTTGCCCATACTTGCAGAGATATCAATGCTTAAATATAATTTAGAAAAAGATAGATATTTTTAAAGATACATGACAAAATAGCACGAACCATGAAAGATCGACGGATGTTGCCGATTTTTCGTCACATGTATAATCCTGTTGAGCTTTTGATTGACTATATTTTAAATTTTTTCATCACGCTAACTTTTTCTTTAAGATTTATATTGTCTCGAAAGAGAGAGCAATAATATAGATGAAGAATGGTTGTACATGTGTATATTGACTACTAAATGCCCATCTATTTAAAATTTTCAACTAACATACAGGTCTATGCTCACTTATAATTTTATATAAAGAAATGTGTTGCCGACTGTTGCATGAATGTTTCAACCTACCTGCATTTTTTTTCCATTAAGTTGTTCTTAAGTCCTGTTTGACCATTTCTTCAAACTGATGACTTAAGAGCAAAATATATCCATTGAATGAACAACTAATCCAGATTTTTACTTGTTTACATTTGCTAGATGAATGAAGCGTAACATCCATAGTTTTGATTCAGAATAAGATTTTATCTAGATAGACTCGTTTTTTTATGATCATCTTCATATATCCATTGATTAATCTATATGTTGATACCCAAGTGATCGCTGAAACACTATGTTTTCTTTTCTTTTCTGTTTTAGAGTTGTGCTGCTTTCCCTTTATCTAAGTTATTTGATTGGTTTATTTCTATTGATCGATAATAATCTTACTCATCCCTCACAATAGAAAACGTGGAATTTTCTATTGTAACCTAATCATTTTTATAATTTCTAATTAAAAAGGCTTTTCAAAAAATCAAAACGATTTTGAGGATTTGGAAAGAGATTTTTACCAGTTCAAAAGTCCAGAAATAATACTGATCTTAGTGTTTTAAAACTTTCAGCTGAAAACTATGAAAACTAGACATATTTTGATGCAAATATACTAATCAAAGGTACGAGTTTTTGAGAAATGAATTAATTAAAAGGGGTTACTCGTCTTTGTTAGTACATCTGAGAACACTTTACACTATATACGAAGAGATGATGATAAAAACGATTCTCTGATTTAGACAACTCAGATCGTCAAGAATTCTTCTGTCGAATAAATTTTTTCAATTTATTCGAAATAATGTTGAGAATCAGGTCTTGTAATTAGATTTGATGTTGACGAGCAACAATATAACATATATTGAAACGTCAGCTATAAATTATAGAAGTTCACTGGTACAAAGAACAGAAGAAACCAAAAGTTGATATGAGAACCTAGAATCCTTAGTAAACAGCTGTATCATCCGTTCATTAATAAAATATTTATTGAGACGTTCTCTTTATTTTAGGAAACTTTTTTAGTGCATTACTAACATTTCTGTATACGTAAGGTATTTTTACGTTCTACATATGATATAAAGGGTATTTCATAAGTAACGGTTCCATTTTTATTTTTTTCTTATCTTTACCATATTTAAAGATAAATAGTCATCAACGATATAGTTTTGAAGAGTAGCATCTAAGCTATCATCCAATGGGAATGGTTCTCAATTTACTTTAACTCTAAGAAAGTACTGCATTGGTGAAAATATTGAAAAAATTTTATCAAATTAATTTTTTATCTTTTTTCCTATAGAGCACGACATTCTCCGTATTTTGTGAATATCTCTCTCAAATCTTGATCCTTTAACTTGAATTTTTTTTTCAAAAGATAGCTTGTGAAATTCTCTACAAAATCCAATACAAACAACTCTCCAAAATAATAATTAGAAAACCATATCTGATCAGCAGTACTACATTCCAAAAAAGCCCACTCTCGTCATCGCTGCTTTTCTTTTTTTTTTACAAAACTAATGATTTCTCTTTTCCTGACTAAACAGGTTTCAAGGCATCCTAAGTTATTCGTTTGGACAGCTGTTCATATTGGATTTTGTAGAGAATTTCACAAGCTATCTTTTGAAAAAAAAATCAAGTTAAAGAATCAAGATTTGAGAGAGATATTCACAAAATACTGAGAATGTCATGCTCTATAGAAAAAAAGATAAAAAATAAATTTGATAAAATTTTTTCAATATTTTCACCAATGCAGTACCTTCTTAGAGTTAAAGTGAATTGAGAACCATTCCCATTGGATGATAGCTTAGATGCTACTCTTCAAAACTATATCATCGATGACTATTTATCTTTAAATATGGTAAAGATAAGAAAGAAAATAAAAATGGAACCGTTACTTATGAAATACCCTTTAGATATAAGATTTATGATTTGAAGTTTGTCCTAGCGTTCCTAACGTATCTATCTGACATAATCGTATAATTTTTTGCCATAGTTTGGGTTCTTTTTTTTTGTTAATATGCTATGTTGTTTCATTTAATGATTAATAGATTCAAATTAATACAAAATCATATTAGTTCTCCGATAATCTAACCGACACTGTAAAGGTAATGGCTCTTTCTATATTTTGAGTAGGGAGAGTGTGGGTGTTTCCATAAAAGATTTGAAATAGAACCAAATATATCTAAAGAATATACTGAGTGAGATACATCGCAAGAGATTGGATGAAAGGAAAGAAGTTTATTTAGTTAATAGATTTAGGTTGTCAAGCCGACGTTTCGTAGTTCTTGACGATATGTGAGGAAAAAAAGTTTTTTTTCATCTTATTTGATGATCAAATCACTATGTTATACATGTAGTGGAAGCTACTATAAACCATAAATCTAGTTTAGAGCATAAACAGTGTTGATAGTTCACACGATGTAAATCTTTTTTCCTTGTATATTTCAACATCAGCCGATCGTAGTTTTTATAAGTCTATGGGCCTTAATTTACTAGCTGTGATCATTCAACATAAAAAATAAGTTCTAAACTGGATCCACGTTAGGAGACATTCCCATGTTGTATTGATGTTTCAGGCGGACTCGGCATACTGACATCATCTGATTCACTCCAAATTTTGGTAAAATATCAAGGTTAAACTTTATCGTGAAAGGCAATTTCTATTATAACAAAAAAAAAGAAAGATATCCTTTTACGTTTGTACTTGATAAGCTATAAATTTATTTTTAACGATCAAAGATAAGATTTCGTTTTCTATCGATTCATTTCATAATAAGCATGGCTCTTCGTATTCTACTATTTTTATTCGCACTCTGCATATGCTTTACAATAATCAATAGCAAAACTCAATGTTCATGTTCATGTTGCAAAGGTAATGGATGTTTTGCACGGTATCAAGGTGTAATTAGTTTACCAACATGTTCATCTTCAAGTTGTAAACATACATGTAAAATGCGTTATCCTGGACAATGTGGTCGATCACCTGGTACATTAGTAGCAACATGTACGAAAACGAAAAAACCTCGTCGATTCTCATCTTCAAAGAAGACGAAATCAAGACTTAGACCATCATCAAGAAAAAATCTATTTGGACGACCTTCAAAATTTGGATCATCATCAAAAAAACATTTATATCGTCATCCTTATTAGGTGATGATTATTGAAATACTTTTACCGAAGAAAAAACACAATTAATAAAATAATTTCAATTGAAGATTTCTGAAATAAAATTGATTTAATTTTTACAATGAAATAAGATAGTTTTTACATAACTAATCAATTTTAGAATTTCATACCTTCTAGGCATGATAAATAGTTTGTTAACATCGAATGATGATCATAAAGAAGTATTTATGACGGACGTCCGGTCAAAAATTACTTTTTTTTTTTTTTTATAAAATAAAGGAGAATAAATTAAATTTTCTTACTATTTTCCCTTTTACTAGTACTTTATTTTATTATACGACTAGAAGCTTCTTTTCGATTACACATTTTGAAAATAATTTGAAGTGTTTATTGAAAAAGTGCCTTTACGTATTGAGGACAAACAAATTACTACTAAGAGTTAGTAATAGCTCACAATCAATAAGACTCTCCGAATTCTTGCTATAAGTTTTTCATGACAGAAACTGTTTGACTAAACACTAAGACAAGTAAATTATTATTCTATTATAGATAACGCTCATTTAATCTAAAATATTTAATTGTTATTTGGTATTCTTATCTGATATATTATTAATATTTGTAACTGGCTTATTTCAATCATTAGCTTATAGAAATATTCAACAGTTAGTTGATGAAACATTTCTACTTGTTCGATGTGAATTAGACAAACAGTCGAACAAATATAAAATTTGAGAAGTCAAATAGTAGTTATCACTTAAATGCAAATTTGTCAGTTATTTAATGGAAATTCTTTATTATATATATTTTTCGAGTTCATTTTTGTTTACATCTATGTATCACCACGATTTTATCTACAATTGATTTATATAACACTTCTTATTTATCATAAATGGATTATGGTGCTGATTTTCGTGACAAACATAAACAGATATAATTCTATTTCTTCATATCTTTTAAATAGAGTAATAAGCTTTTAATAATGTTAATACGAGGATTAATTTTATTTTTAGGATGATGAAATATTTTTGACAATATTTTATAGAGTACAACAAGAACTAATAATAAAAAGCAGTGTACCATAAACCTGACGTGCCATTCATCAAATTGTATTTTCTATTATTCGTTATTGAAAATTTCCGTTGGTTAATTCAACATGTTCATACTATGTATATCCGGTGATATTCTTCCTGTTTCGAATTGCTTCCGATAGTTAAAATCTTATGTGTCTTATAAAACAATTTATTGAAGTTCGTATGATTGAATTCATTAAATGAAATTCAATTCAAAGATTGTACGAACACTATAAACAAAACAAAATTGATGTTTTTTTTCTGTCTAGGCTTATTACAGTTCAATGATTATGAACACTGCAAGATGGATTCTTGTCTTGTGAATAAAATTATTAATATGTTTATCATGTTTTTAATATCTTTGTGAGAAATTAAACATTACCATGTAACATTTCATTGTCGAAAACTGCTTGTTCACACAAAGTTAAATTGAATGTATCTACAAATTTTGAAATGTTTTACATTGTAAAATTTAATTATTTTATAAGAAATTTATTGGAAGAAGACAAATAAAAAAATTTATCATATTTTACGTTTCAGAATCTTTCATCAATTAAGTGCAGTACGACTCTTCTCCTTGTCCCATAGACACATACAATAAAAAAATGTATAAATTGATGAAGTTAGAACATTGAAGTCTATTCAATATCAGTGTTTGTGAATTTATAATTTATGAGAGATTTTTCACTTGATCTATTTTATATTAGTTTATTGAAGTTCAAAAATATATTATGTAAGTTTCATATTTCAGTCCCAGCGGGTTATACTAACCAACCTTTTCATTATCAGTTGTTAAACAGAAAAATAAATGATATTGTTCTTTCTCAATGGCGAACTTATAGAGGGGGGATGGAGTGCTCTTGAGGTAATTGTCCCCTTTTCTAAAAGAGTTTTCTAGATTCTTCTTAATTAGTAGAAAATGCTTTAAAATGAATTGATACATACTCTAATGAACTTCAAAACACGCTCACCGAGTCACCTCCTATCATAAAAGTCTTATATCTGCTATTGCTGTTTCTTTCAGTTTTATATCTCTTGAGTTGTGTAAAACGTGTTCGATCCGATTCATAAAACTAGTTTCTGAAAATCTTGTTTAATGAAAGAATCTTTGTCATCTACAATTTTAGTGAAAATAGATAAATACTTCTTATGATAGAAAATTCGATGAACTACCAAAATCATTTTTCTGATTTATTTTCTACATGTCATTGTCAAAAAGATATTATAAAAATATAAATATGCTAAATTTTTGTGTATTCATTTTCTAAATGCAAATACATTTCTATATGTCAACATATTGTAAACAGAGATATTTTTAATGAATAATAATATGAAATTTAAACACTTTCAAATATTAATTTTTCAAAAATATAATTTAGTTGCTAGAAAATGAATGAGAATTTTATTTTAAGATTTATCTTTACAACAATATAGTTTGATTATTCAACGATATAAATTCAAAATTATAAAACAAACGAATGCATCATAATATATTCATTCAATGCAGTTCATTTTTGAAGTCCTGTTTAGTCTATATCTCTTATTATGAGGATTTAATTTATGTAAGATTGCATTAGGATAATGATAATATGTATCTCATATTGTCTTTATACTTCTTTCTAATATTCTATGAAGAAGAAAAAAAAATAAGCACTTCTGAACAGCAGAATTCTTTTCTCCGGATATTAATGAATATTCTTTATTTTTTGAACTTTGTTCTTGATTAATATATTTTGAGTTCTTTTCTTATTGTGACATAGAAAGAAAGACAAACGAAATCAAAAACATTGAATAATAATTTTATGATGAAAAGCTCATTATTTTTAATATAAAATTATAATAATTAATTATATCACAAAAGTTATTATGGTATGACGTTAGTTAAATGACAATATAAGCATAGTTTATAATATTATCAGCATATTCATTTTTCTGTTTGAATTATCATATGATACTTAAGACTTAATTACATATTATATAGCAAGACAATATAAGATAGTTTCTATCATAGTATTTATAATACTCTTATTTAAACATAGAAGACTATACTTCCGAAGAACATATCTCACTTTCGAATATGTCGTCATCAGTAGCATTGTTTCTCAATCTTTCTCAACAAATTACTTTATATATGAATATTCCGATTTTAATTGTTGGTGTTATTGGTGGAATATTTAATCTCATAGTATTTCTTAGTCTTAAAACTTTTCGAAAAAATTCATGTTCATTCTATTTAATGATTATGTCATGGGTTAATATTGGTCAGTTAGTTACTGGTAATTTTACTCGAATAATGAGTGTTGGATATAATATTGATTGGACACAAAGTTCATTATTTTATTGTAAATTCAGATGGTATTTTATTCAAATATGTACATTAACTTCATATGCATGTTTATGTTTTGCAACAATTGATCAATATTTAGCAACATCAACTCGTTATCGATGGCAACAATGGAGTAATATTAAATTAGCATATTATCTTTGTTCAGCAGCTGTTATTTTTTCAATGTTACATGGAATTCCTTCGTTTATTTTTTATAATTATGGTAATTCAATAATTACAACTCAACCTGTTTGTATTATACCTAATACTGTCTATCAACGATACAGAACTTATGGTTATTTTTTAGTACTAGCAGGTTTTTTACCCGTTTTTATTACTGTTCTTTTTGGAACATTGGCATATAGAAATGTTCAACAATTAGCTTATCGAACTGTTCCACTTGTTCGACGTGAATTAGATAAACAATTAACAACTATAGTTCTTGTTCAAGTTGTTTTTAGTTTTATTGTTATTATGCCTTATAACATATATGTGACAATAACACCTATCATAAATTTACAAGTTGATTTAGATATTGCTGCCAAATTACAGTTTATTGAATCTTTAACTGGAGGTATTTACTATTCATATTTTGCAGTAAGTATGATTTAATTAATGTTTATTATTTGATTTATTAAGATTTTTATAGGCTCCATTTTATATTTATGTTTTGGTATCGAAACGATTTCGACAACAACTACTTTATGTGCTTAATCCTGCTTTTATTAACTTTGCTAGACGTCCACCAATAATTAGTAATAATCAAGTAGTACCAGAACTTAATGGAAGTTAATTCAAAGTTAACGTTCGACAATGTAAGATGATCTGTAGAAATGGATTTAAATTGAACTTTTTGTTGAATAAAATCATTTTCAAACTCGAAAATTGAACACATATAAGATTCTATTGATATTGTTGATTAGTATTTTATTTATGTAGTGTATTGTATCCTATTATATAACTTTATTTCAACTTATTTTCAATGTATTTATATCTTATATTGGTCTTTGAAATGAGTTTTATCTTATTTCATATGAATACACATTCTATAATTTCATGACGTATCATTTTTTTTTAATATCTTTCTTAATAACAACAATGTGTAAAATATTTATTAAATTCCAAAGGCTATTGCGTATCTCTTTTACATTCATTATAATTAAAAAAAAATTCTGTAAAAGTAATCATATCCTTTCTATTAAGCACTCTGAGTGTGTTGCTAATCCAAAAGCTAATTTGTTACAATATACTTTTACGTACGTGTTGAACCTTTCATAAACAATTCAGTTTAACAGGCTGTTATCAAGTTCTGATATTGATAAGTATTGCAGAGTTAAATATTAAATTTATGTAATACGGATCAAACACGGTAGCCAGTATTTTAAACATAAATGATAAAAAAAAACATTAAATTATCGTACTTTATTTCATGTTTAATAAAACATAATCGTACATACTAACTTATTTAATCAAGTTAACATCTCTAACAATAGACTTTGAACAATCATCTACATTTAGATATTATTTTAAAACAATTTGGTCAATAATGTATAAAATAAATGTATTTATTATTTATTTAATAAAATGTCCTAGAACAGACGATGTAGAAAAGTGGAATAAGCATTAAAAACTGCGGACATTGCGAAAGTATAAAGTCATATAAAGTTCGAAACAAATAGTATACGGATATCCATGATTGCTTTGATTTTTTACTTATACATGCTGTTTCATCATTAAGCATTAAGTTAAGAACCTTTATTTTTTAACATCAAAACTAAGATAACAATGAGTACCCTCAACTCTTACAGATACCCATAAAAATGATTACATAAAAAATATCCTCACAAACAAAAAAAATTAATGAGACAGTAATATAAAAAGTTCTCAGCTATGTTGAAATACATTTATTTAATTTTTTTTTTTCTACAATGAATAATGATTATTAAATGGCAAATTAAAAAAGAAACATTCGTTCTGAAAGTCGTATAATACTAATGAATCAGTAACAAAGAATATTGATATAATCGTCTAAGTCACAATTATGTTTCGACTAACTACAATGATGACAATGCAATAAACTGCTCCAGCTATTATGATCATCTATCCATGAGATAGTATCAAACTGTTAGAGATTAAGACTTCACTATTACAGATAGTTTTTTGTAGAACTCAAACATATATATTTGAAGACTATTCGATACGTTTTTCTAACAACGAAAAAGAAAAGACGCATCAGTAAAAAACAACAATCAGTGCCAAGAGCATTTTGGAACTTATTAGAGTCTTTCAAAGCATTCTATGAAACTCAGATTTCTACTGTAGATTCTAGCTAATCCAAATATTGCGGTATTAGTATGTGCTGTACTCGGAAGCTTACTGAACGATTAAATCAATGTGTCAAGCTAGTTAATATAGTAGTTGAATCAATAAAACAAAGAATAACATAATATGTAACACTTTCTATGGTATATACTATATATCGTATATATTATTATTATTAGGAAAAAACAAGTTATGTATTGAAGATGCATTTGACAGTATAACTGCAATATTGACGTGTCAACTATAAAAAATTCTTATCATTTTGATTTATTCATTTATTTGATATTTTTTAAAACACATTGGTCTTACATGGATCTACACTGACAAATTTTTCTTTTGAACAAAATTCAGATTGAGCAAAGAATCTTGAAGATATCTTACCTAAGATAAGAAGCAAAGAAATCATTGAGTAGACTGCTCATTACTTTTTTTTCAATAAATTATCACGAGAGACTTATTTAAAAAACTATGGAAGAATTTTAATAATTATCATTTTATCAAAGTAATTCAATCTATGACATTACATAAGTTTATCTAATAGAGATATTCACATTATCAAATCAATTATTTTATATTGTTTGCTATTTGTTCTTTTTTGTATAGAAAAAAGTGACACAATCTTAATTGAGCAAGAAAATGGTTATATAGACTTCTCCTAAGACACTTTCAGTTAAATAGACAATATGACAAAAATAAAAAAAAATGGTCCGACAACGTTGTAAGAAAAAATAAACAAAAACAAGAATAATAAAAGTTGTTTTGTGTAATTTAATTAAAATTATAAGATGTTTCCATTTCTTGCAATTGAACAATTGTAAGTTCATTGCCTGCATTAAGACAAGAAATAACTTGAAATTTTCGACCAGGCAAAAGAAGTACTTGATCTTTTGATGGATCATGTGCATGATTACTAATTAATTTACCCGAACGACATTCAATAGTAAAAAGAGTTCGTTCACCTGTTCTACCAAAATTTTCTTCATCTTCAAGTGTTTTAATACATGATGTACAATCTAAAAATTCCCAACTAGAATATATTCGTCCATTAGGATATTTATCACTGAGATTTTTATTTGTTCCTTGATAAACAACACGTGTTATTGATGATAATTTTGAAAGTGCTTGTAAAAAAAGTCTTAAATAGAACAACCATGGTTTTATTTGTTGTTTATTTTCTGTACGTAATGTTTGATTGAGAATGTAGTTAAATGTCATTTCTTTTGAATACCATTCCATTGTATAGAGTGCTATTGCAGATGATTCATCATTAGTTAAACCATCCTGTGGATTCTCACAATTCTGTTTAACTATCCAAACCATTTGTTCGATTTTATCAACAATCTTAGAAAGAGGAGCAACAGCTTGTTCAAGAGAAACTATTGATACTTTGTCATATTCGTCGAATGGACATGTCATATCATTAATTGATACAGTAGCCATCGCATCTTCAAGAGTTCGACTGGAATCATCATCTATATCTGTTGTGAATGTAGCATTTGAATCTAAAATAAAATAACATGAATTTAATAGCCTTCCGCAAATGTTATTAATGTTCTTAAAAATCTTATTGTACTTTTCGATAAAAGAAAACCTTTCAGTTTTATTAACAACAGATATTCAATAGCACAAGATCTATAAATATGGTACTGTAATTGCGATCCTATCTATGGTCTCAATAAATCCAATTTGATTGCTGTCGTACAGATAGTAGTATTTCTAATCATGGCATAGAGAAAAACTGTTCTAGAATTATGAGCTGATTGGCATAATTTATAAAATTATTCGCTTAAAATCATAATATATTTAACTACAATCTTTAGTTTCAACTGGGACAATTTTTTTATGATAATTCCGGTCCCGTACATTGGCAGTTGGCATGCCTTCAATCTATTAATGAAAGACATAGTTGAAAACTTTGAAGAATTTTTAAAAATCAAAGTCCGAGGCTTCCTATGTCATACAGTTTGACTTGAGATAATTTTTATTGACTCACTTGTAATATTTGTAATTGAACTAGGAGCTATTTTTGCTGTTGATCCTTTATTTTTTGCAAACATTCTTAGATCAGATCGAATCTTGGAAATCAATTCATCTAATTCAACAATAATACCTCTGATCTGTAAGAAGAAAGATTACAAAGAAAGATAAATTAAAAATTAACATATAATTACTTTAGGATATTGCTGAGACCATTCTTCATGTCTGCTTTTATTTAAACAAAATATGTAGATACCTGATATTTGTTGTAGTTCATGAATATTGGGTATTATTTTTCGACTTAATCTACCACTGACAATAATTAAAAATGGTACTTTTGGCTTTGATTGAATAAACTGTTGACATTCATCCTCTTCTTCATGTATTTCAACATTATCAAAAGCTCTAAATAGATTTTGTTGTATAAAAAGATTATCTTCACTTTTGTTTGCTTCGGAATCCAACCAGACAATTGTAAGTTTTTTGTTTGCACTATCAGTTAGTGAATTATTACCTGTAGCCATATTTCTGTTGTTTTTTCTTACTTCTGATATTTCAATCGACGCATGTGTCGTGTGAACGAACGCGATAAAACCTTTTTTTATGTTCTTTTCTGTTACTTTTTTTTTCACTTTCAAAAATATAGTTGTTAGACTGGCAATTTCGAACGAAAACAAATGTTCTGCAGAGGCATACTTTTCTTACCTTACACACTGAGTCAATATTGTTTTTGCCTATGTCATAGTTTCTTTTCCTTTGCTTCCGACAAGTCGTTGGAAATTTTCTCAATACGTCATGCACATAAGTTCTCAAATGAATAACATATGTACATCAATACGAAAGAAATTTTATTAAAATAAATTGTATTATCATAATTCTTCGAACATTTTTGAGCATGTTTTTTATCCTGAGTTATCAGAAATATCTGAATGACTATTGAAAGAAATATCGAAGATCTCTATTTAAAAAAAATAATAAGTTTTTTTGTTAATATTCACATTATGAAATATTAATTTAGCGGTGCTTCGATCGGGAGAGACAATCAAAGGTAGCATCTTTCATGCATGAATTCAGGAAAATTTCGGTTTTTTTCATTCGATGATTCATGAAATTTCAAAAATAAATGTAAGTTTTTTCTTTCTTCTTGATTTTTAGTGGTTACCTCTTGTGGTGACAGCCAGCGACCTCGTTCTTAATTCGACTACTTCGAGACATTTCTGCACTGATAGTCGTTCAAACGTTATCCATACTTGAATGCTGTAATTTTGTTTTTATTTAACAAAATCTTATGAAAGAACTACACTAAAGAATCTTCAATATGCAATCACTTATAAAATCAATAAAAATCTTTTACAAAAATATCAAATAAAACACACAATCTTAATTATCTATTTCCAAGAAAAGCGATACGCTGATTATTCTTATAATTTTAACAATTGAGAAAATTTGTTGTGCTCCTCTGGTTTCTTCAGGTAAGGTCTAATCGATTCGACTATCCTGCTTAGGATTAAGTCAAAATTCTGATGATGTTACTAGCAAATTTATAAACTAGATAGTATCAACGAGTTTGATGCAAATATAAATAAGTGGCTGTCTTGCCTATAGCAAGTCTAGATGTTCGTGTGTTTGTTATACAGATATGTGTGTATGTTTAGAGAAACAATATCAACAGATTTTGCAGAACACACATAAACTCAAGTTATAGCAAGTTTAGACGGAACGTCCAAGTGCTCCTTACAATGAAGTTGTCTATAACGATGAGATTAATAGTTCCAAACCATTTTAAACATCGTTTTTTAGTTTTCATGTCTAATTTTGAAATATAGACGGACGTTGAAAAGTTTTACAACACAATAGGACATTGTTTCTGTGTTATAGTTAATATCTTAGAATTAATTATATGCAAAAATATGAGCATAGTGAATATATTGATACATCGATAGAATTAGAAACTTTAAACTACTAAATATTTTATATTTTGTTACCATCATATTATTCTTCTTTCAGTAGACAGATTACCAATGTTTGTGTTGCAGTACTTATGTTGTCAAAGATAATATCCGATATCAAATAGAAAAAACAAATGATAACAATAGATAGTGAACACGATTCATAAGAGCTTTAAATTTGGTCTACTTCTTGGTTGTCGATTATAAATTTTTCTCTAGTGATAGACACAGTATTGTAGAACTGGTAATGATTCAATAATTTATCACAAAAAAGCACACTAACTAAGTAATATAACATAAATCTTGATCTGTTGCCCAATAATGATAAAAGCCTTCGAGTCACTGCATTGATGTTATTTCATCGCCAAAAAATCTCTGTTTTCATTAAGAGATGTCTTATTTTTGTATGAATATTTCATTAATTGGATACATGTATGTAACAAGTAGCAAGATATTTTACAAAAGACGATTATTGTTTTTTTATGAAGAACAAATCGAAACAATACTATTTTCACACGATTATAATCGGATTTATAGTCGTCGATTTTATTTATTATTTTTTTTTTTTATTGTTAAGAATTTTTTCAATTTTCTCTAATCATTAAGAGGATTTGCCAAGTTTTATTCATTAAAGTTTATGAATGAATTTTCATCAATGAAAAACAACAATATAAGATCAAATATAAGATTATAATAATGTTATTTTAAATGAATTTTTTCTTTTTTTTATTCATATATAATATTCCTTTTGAAATGATGTACACAAGATATGAGTACTCAACATAAAAACAAGCAAAACTTTTTATTACGTTTATTAATTCAATCAATAAATAAGATTAGAATATATGTTCAGTCATTAAAGGCTGCTCAAATTCCATCATTTTGAACTTAATGTTAAATAACAAATTAATTTTATTAATTTTTTTATTCTAAATAATTCTTAATCAAAATATATCAAATTTTGATATAAAAGACAATACCAGACACAAAATAAATACTTTAATTAATCAAAAAAAAAAAAAAAAGAAAGAAAAACAAGATTCTTTTCTTTTATTCCTGTAGAACTGAAATCAAAAAGTAGTTCATATATTATAAAAAGTCCTTATTGATGTATGCTTTTTGATCATATATCAATAAAGTCTTGCATAGTGGGTAGTAGAGCACCAAGGTGTTTGTCACAGTCTGTGAACTGGAAGGAGTATTTTCCATGTCTTGCAATATCCTTTAACACTTCTCTCATTAATTACTTGTCAACTATTTATTAAGGGACTGTTTATGAGTTATTAATTCGATGCTAATTAGTTATTTAATTAAAATGATACTTTGGGGCCATTTCCAATGAATTATTTTAATGAATAGCGACACAATTTATACCGCCTCATACCAAAGATGACACTAACATACTTATGAAAATAATAAACTTGTAATTCTGTTTTACACTTGTCATTTTATGCATATGATTCAGATCAAGATGACATGAGACATCCGACTAAATATAAAAACTTTTCTTTCATGTTCCTAAAAACAAGAAACTCCTATATTTAATTATTAGAATAGAATGCATGACCAATAATTATGAGATGACGATGATTATAAATAGATTTCGGCTTTTGAGCTAGTCTATTCAATTAAATAATTTTGAACATTTCTTGATACTATAATTACACATTCATGTAAGATATTTCTCTTCCAATATAATCCGTCGTTGAAACTAATAAAAAGAAAAGATTACATTTTTGAAAACTATACTCCGTATAAAAAAACGCATTTTCAAATGAAATAATCCTCAAGCAATTCTGAAGTATAATAATGAAAGTTTCATTATTAATTTTCATTCAAAATGCTCGGATTGAAATAAAAATTAATTTGTATTGAAAAATGTTAGTATCTGGTTGTAAAAGAACAATCATATCTTCTTGATTGCGGACAATTTTTCTTAATTGGAGGAAAAACAATGTCCGCAGAGCAGAATGGGGGGAGGGAGAGAGAGAAAAAACTGACCGTGACACGACATTTGCGCGCGCGACATTTGCGCGCCGACACTTGCGCGCCGGCATTTGCGCGCGCGACACTTGCGCGCACGACACTTGCGCGCTCGACACTTGCGCGCAAAATGATTTGTTCTGCGCTTGACTTCGGTCTGGATTGGATATGACTACGGATGTTGCTTAGAAGATAGATGCTGGCTGTGCGTGTGGCTGTGAGGGTTAAGTATTACCGTAGTCTCAATTCCAATCATTCATTGAGGAATTCTGGAAGAATCTTTCAGGATCCTTGACTTCACGGATCTTGTCAGGTTTTCTACAAGATCCTGCCACCTTTCTTGATAATTCGTTTTTCCAGGGTTTCGCATAGGGTCAAGAAACGTGGGCTCCAAACTGTGTAAACTCCAAATTGCGTAAAGTCTAAATTTCGAGCCCATTTTCTTCTCAGTCCCTCTGCTATGATTCATAGCACCATCTAGAATGCTAGTAGCATTTTCTGGGATGCTACTTGCATTTCCTCGGATGCTAATAGCATCATCTGAGATGCTAGAATCAACATCTGTGATGCTGGTAGCGTTCTCTGGGCTGCTACTAGCATTCAGTAGGATAATAAAGCATTCTCTGGAATGCTAGTAGCATTCTCTGGAATGCTAGTAGCATTCTCTGGAATGCTAGTAGCATTCTCTGGAATGCTAGTAGCATTCCATGGGATGCTGAAGCATTTTCTGGAATGCTAGTAGCATTTCCTGGAGTTCTAGTATTGTTCTCTGAGGTGCTAGTAGCAGTCACTGGGATGGTAGAGGCATTCTCTAGGATGCTAGAAGCAATTTCTGGGATGCTAGAGCCATTACCGGGGATCCTAGAGGCATTACCTACGACGTTAGTAGCATTTTCGGTCATGCTCATAGCATCCCAGGCAATGCCTCCAGCATCCCAGCCAAAGCCTCTAGCATCCCAGGTGATGCCCATAGCATCCGAGAGAATCGACATTAGCATCCTAGGCATTATTAGTGGGATCCCAGGAAATGCCTCTGGTATTCAAGGTAATGCTACTAGTACTCTAGGTGGTGCCACAAACCATAACAGAAGGATTGAGAAGAAAAGTGAGCTCCAAATTTGGAGTTTACATGCGGAGCTCACTTTTCTTGACCTTCTCAGGGTAAGGCAGGGTCCTGGTTAGGATGTATCCAGGTTCCTATCAAGCTATTTTTCTAAATCATGGATGCAGGATCCTACATGGATTCAAGCTTAATCCTGCTTAGTATCATCACAGGAATAATAGAGATGATTCTTTCAAGATTTGATGCATTTCGGACGCAATCTGTTCAGAATCCTGATTGGATCTTGCTAGGAATACTACCAGGATCTTGAAATTCTGTGGCTATACGCTTCTTTCAGGATTTAGTCATTTCCTCAGAAAAGAAACAGCGAATCATTGAAGGATCCTGATTGGATTCGTTAAGGATCAGACACAGAAACATCAAAGATTTTCCCTAGGGTAGTGAAGATGCATAAAGGATTGTCTCGAACTACTGCTTTCCCATTGCAGTGGCACCCACTTTCCGACATCATCACACTCAAACCCAAACG